TGTGTGCTCGGCGATTGCAGCGGCGCCTCCATCCGCATCGTGGCATGCCGTGCTCCGTCCTCCGCCGCGCCAAGGCCAGGCGCTAGGAGAGGGGGTCATCGTTGGCCGGGCCCAGGCGGCGTAGGCGCAGCTGGCCGCTGCCAAGCCGCGCCACCATCCTCGCCCCCCCCTGTGGCTAGAACCGACCGTTTCTCGCTTTGCTCTGCGTCGCACGAAAGAAGGGCGAAAAACACATGTTGCAAGCGAACATTTCAAGTGTTTTAGATGTTTCAGAGGTATGTTGCAAATGTTTTACATGGATGCTGCAAAATTAGATCGAGGATGTTGCATATGTTGCAAGCTTTTGTTCTCAATGTTTCATCTTTTTTTTCGGCGTATGTTGCAAGTGTGTTTATCTGGATGTGGCATATGTTTTCACACATATGTTGCAAGTGTTTATCTGGATGTTGCGTATATTTTGCAATGGTTTTAAGTGTTTTTGCAAGTATTTCAGAAACATATTTCAAAAGTTTCATTGTCTTTAGACGTATGTTACAATTGTTGCATTTGGATGTTTCAAAACTATATTGAGTGTTGCATCTCCCTCCTCATCTCTGTTGCCCCGCCTCGGTGTCAGGCGCGGGAAGCAAAGGCAAGCGGAGGTGGTCCCGCTGGCGCGAGCAGTCCCCACATGCATGCGCGGGCACGCGGTAGCATGCTGCATGTGTAGCAGCAACAAGTGGGCACGCAGCAGCAGCAACGCGTGGGCGGGCGCAACAGGCCGAGGCAGGTGCAGCGGCTCGTACGTCCAGATCTCCGGGCGCTAGCCACGCCCTTTCAGTAATGGAACCACGTGTAATAACTGCAGAGGCAGTGCTTCCATGCATAGGGCCAAATGGGCCATGGCTTCCCCTCGTCTAAACATTTTATTATAATAAGTAATTACGAGTAAGTACTTCATCCCACCACTCAAGTACCACTCAAGTGACAAGAAAATACTAATATGACCCCTCTTTTTGTTAGTAGGAATAACATAACATGTCGGTCCTTGTCAAGCAAGCTCTGCCACAAATGACTGTTGTTAATTTAATTGCATCAGAAGGCAATGACCAATGGGGCAATGGGTCATGGATGGAGCTACATATGCATGTCAGCTTTAATTTGCCTCTTGACATCACTGCACTGTTATGTTGTTTCCTCGCTGGCCGATCCAGTTTGAGACGCAACTACGTAGGCACCAGCTCCAGATGTTGCTTTGCTGCCTAGTAGCTGGACTGAGAGTGAGAGATGCACACCAGCTCCAGCACCAGCAGTACCAAAACTCCAAAAGCTAGCAGCAGGCCCAGCTGCATCATCTCAGTTCAGACAGTACTCCTCCATGATGCATCATTGTAGCCGCATGCAGCATGCGAATACGTCTTTCCATTCTCTCTCTCTCTCTCTCTCTCTCTCTCTCTCTCTCTCTTTGGTGGTGTTGAAAAGGTGAGTTTTTTGGATGGGAAAATCGAGCACAAATTTGGATGGGAAAATCGAGCACAAACTAAAGCGAGGAAAGCAAAGAGTTAGCGTTGCAAGTAGGACCGTCTCCAACAAGAAACTTATATAGACATCTAAGTCTAAAATAAATAGTAAGAGATCTAAAATTAACCTTTCAACAGAGTACTTATACGGGAGACATATTTTAGGTTGCCTGAAAGGCACAACCCAAATATGGACATCCTCTCTCCTGGAAACCTATTTGCAGAAATGATTCTCTTTTGTGTTTTGTTGTTGGAGAAGATGCCGAATAGATATTGAACCTTTTGCCTGTAGCGCTACCCAAATGATAAATATGTCTTATATTTTGGATGTTGTCGTTGGAGATAGCCTAACTAAAAGCTAAAAGCAAGTGCTGTAATACCAACAAGCACATCTATCAAGTCTTAAGCTAGAAGCATTCTTCTTTTCTTTGGGCGTGCGCGAGCACCTGGTATATATTGACACAAGAGCTGCCAGCCAGCCATTGCAATTTGCACGGCTATTGCTACTACTTGCATGCAATGCTCACTCGATCGTGTCCTCCTGCTCCTTTTCTTTGCCCGCCATTTCATTGTGTTGCTACTTTGCTAGCTAGTTTTATTTGACTCGGTCTCTTTACTCTAGACATCTGGGGGCACATGACCAAAATCCTTATTCGGTATGGGTGCGGAGCCTGCCTCACCTAGGAGCAACACATGGACATATGTCGAGAAGTGATTGGAGGGAGCCGTGCTGCATCGTTGTCTTCACCATGCGACACCCGGGCGTCTTCTGCGTACAGATGTGAGGGTTAGGGGTGGGCGAGGTGTAGGCGGAGCAGGGTGCTCACCACCAGCAATGGGCACCCGTTGATAGGCGGAGAGGGATATATAGGATTAGGGTTTCAATTTAGGGTTTATAGCTCTCACTCCAATATCCTTTGGCCTTTAGAAGGATGGCCCGAGGTGGCAACCGTCCCAACGATGCCTTGGTGTTTAGACGGGTGGCGAGGCAAGGAGGCGGCGGCGGTGCTAGCCTGCGGTGAAGGACAACCAGTGAGCAAGGATGTCAGAATAGAAACAAAGCGGGGAAGTTAGGTGGGCGGCTCAAATTTAACTATGTTTATATATTTCACATTAATCCTATATAAGATATAGAAAAGCCCGCTTGTGCATCCCTATATGCAGTTCATACCTGCTGAGATACATCAATACATGAAGCTAACCTTTTACGAATGATGTTGAATTGAGAATTATCCAAGCTACCCGCTCCCTAATTAGGACAATTTTATTTTTAATGGATCGCAAAAGCATGTTTGTATAATTGCATAAGTAAAACTAGCTAGTGTGCTCTGAGCCTCCGATTGGTTTTGCATCCTGGTGTGCGGTCGTGCCTTAATTATATTAGCGTTTCTGAAATCATCAATGGTCCGTGCTGCATCTGCATGTCGTACGTGTCTATCGCGTGGCAAATTAAATCCATCAAATCAATGGCATCGGCAATTCGGTAAGAGCTACCTTTGCTTGTGGTTAATGAACAAGTAATAATGATTGGGTACATGTACAACGTGTTCTTCTTGTAAGCCAAGACTTGTTGCTTTGTTATCAAGATGGAGGAATCAATCATTCTCACGTCCTTAGGATGCCTTTTCGACCTGCTAGTGTCGACGTCTACTCCTTCTCTATCTAATAAAAAGAGATTTGCTAAATTTCATGTGTTTGAATTTTAGTTTTTCTTTTAGACGACCGTTATTGCATATATTTTATATCAATATAAAATTATAGTTTTAGATTGTTGCAATTTTTATAGACACAATCTGTAAATTTTTGTTCCGTGAATTAAAAAAGCAGTTAGACAAAACTACAAACTTGAAAAAAATCTGATATGTATTGATAAAAAGACAATTTAATAATTTACAATTATTTCTATAGAGAGTTAAGGACAAAAATTTGATATGTTATGACACAAAGACAAATAACAAATCGACAATGATATGATGCGGGCGTCCGTCCGTCTGGATGCCATGCGCCCGCACTTCGCCTCCCACACTGCCTTATCGAGCGTCGCTCGTCAGTCCGCTTCTCCAAAAAAAAAGACAGTGCTGCTCCCTTCTCCGGCGCGAGGCTCCTCGCTGCAGTCAGCGCTGGGCTGCTCGTCGTGGCCTTCTCCAGCGTGGTGGCGCCGCATCCGCCCCCATCTCGCGCTACTCCACTCTCCTCTCCCCACTCCGCACCGCACGGCATGGCCGCCCGCCCCACTTTACTACGCCCCCGTCCCCTACCATGCCATGTCGTGCTACGTCCTCCGTCGCACCTAGGCTAGGTGCCCAGGAGAGGGGGACATCGCTAGCTGGGCCTAGGCCAAGCGTAGGCATAGCTGTCCACTGCCACGCTGCTCCATCATCCTTGGGCACCGGCTGGTCGGAACCTGCTGTCCCCTCGCTCTACGCTACGTTGTACAAAAGAAGGGTGAAAACGCATGCTGCAAGCCTATGTTTCAAGTGTTTCATATGTTTCATAGATATGTTGCAAGTGTTTCATGTGGATATTGCAAAAGTAGATCAAGATGTTGCATATGTTGCAAGTGTTTCAGAGGCATGTTGCAAGCGTTTGCTCAAAATGTTTCATTTGTTTTCCAGACGTATGTTTGCAAGCGTTTTTTATTTAGCTGTTGCATATGTTTCACACATGGTGCAAGAGTATGTTCCAATGATTTCAACCTTTATGTTGTAGTAAGTGTTTTCATGTTGCAAGTTGAAAGTGTTTTATCTGGATATTACATATGTTTCACATATATGTTTCACTTGTATGTTCCAAATGTTCATCTATTTCAGATGTATGTTGTATTCCAGTGTTTTTATGTTGCAAGTGTTTTATATTTTTGAGGTGTGTTCAGAGAGTCATGGGGGCACGGCCCGGGTGCCGAGGGATGGGGCGTGGCGAGCCGGGTGCTCGCGGATATGGCGCGCTGGGGCCAGTGGTCGGGGCGTGTGGCGCGCCTGGGGTCCTACGGATGGGGGTGTGCTCATCCTTATCTTGGCTCCCGGTCTCGCCCGTGCGAAGAGAGGGGAGCGGTGTCGTTGGAGAGAGAGGGAGCATGGTGTCGTTGGAAAGTGAGCGTGCTGTGAGAGCAAATGGAGGAGGTGGGTCCATGATCGGCGCTAGCCATGCTCGTAACAAAATCACATAAGTGAAAAATTACTTTATTAATTGGTAGTACAAGAGTATTGTCTGAAATCATTTTAAAATTCAGGCACATAAAATATAGAGAAGTGAATAAAAAATAGACACCTCATTTTTTAAAAAGTTATTCAATTCCATGTTTAGCTAGTATATTTTTTAAAAATAGTAGTATCAAGTATTATGTAGCGCACTGGCAGAAGTTGAGAAATCCATCAAGTTTATATAGATGGAGGCCGTCGGATCCTCAATCTGGTGTCCACGACCGTCCGATCTGACTACTACCAGTCTACCACCTGCCCCGTCCTCCCGTCCCAGTCAACGCCACCGTCACTTCAGTTGAGGATGCCGTCGCCGGCTGCCGTGCTCGTCAGCAACGGCGCCATCTGCCCACACGCTCCCCCATCCGCCGCCGCCTTCCTCGACTCCACGCCGGGCGCCTACACCACCGCCCGCGGCACCCTCCTCTGGTGGCCGCGCCACCTCCGCCGCCTCGCCGAATCCACCACGCTCCTCGCCCGTTCTCACCCTCACCTGCTCGGCCTCCCCCTCCCCCTCCCCCGATCGCGCGCCCTCGACCTCGACTTCCTCTCCATCCAGTCCCTCGTCAACCCCTCCGTGCGGGTCGCCATCCACGAGATGCGCACTCGTCTGCCCATGACCAAGGAGGAGCATTTGGCGCTCACTACCCTGGTCAGAGGAGCAGGAGCCGATTCCATTTCTGGTTCTGGGGACGGCCTCGACGTCTTCGTCCATGTGGGGAAGTATGCCCCGCCGGTCTTCGGAGAATCGGGGGCCAGACTTGCCGTGGCCGGCAGGGGAAGGGACGCCGCCACCGCCAAGTACGCGCCCTGGGCCAGGTCGGTGCTGTACGGCAATCTTAATTTCTGCAAGTTTTGTTGCTGCGTGAGCTGAACTAGTATTCCTTATCGGCTTATCTTACCCCTCAACTGAATGCATGCAGGATTCGGAAGAGTATGGAAAAGATGAGGCCTCCTGGGGTCACAGAGCTCTTGTTGACTAATGACGGGGATCACATTCTTGAAGGCGCTGTCACAAACTTCTTTGTTGTCTGCCAACAGGCGAGTCCAACTTCTTTCCTATCTATGAGTGACATCTTGTTGTGATTTTTATAGATAATATGCAGGAAGAATCCTTCTGCACTTACAATGAATGCTAATGATATTATGGAGTACTCAGTACTCAGATCAGAATAGAGAAATGAGTTAAACCATCCATGTAATGGCAAGGCACAAGTGAAAATCATATGCACTTCCTTTCACAAATTTTCTTTTCATCATTTCTGGTCACTTCTACTCTACTTTTTATGTCTGCTGCTGCTGCTGCCTTAATCGTTGTCCTGTCATCATATAAATGCACATACTCATCAGAGTTTGGGCTAAAATGACGATCCTTGGTGCCTTCCTATGAATGGATTCTAGGATGTCCAAGCCTCCAAGGAATGACCAAATATCTTTTCATTTTTCAGATTTTGTTGTTGTATTTATTTGATCTCTCTAAAAGCACCCACAACATATTGCCAGCCACACCACATGGGATCTTCAATACTAATGGTGTACACTACAATTTTTTAACAAAAACAAGTGCATTGTCATGTTGGAAACTTGGAATTTTGAATATAGTTTTTTCTTCTGTACAATAACCGGTGTATTTCTCCATAGGAGGAACGTGAGAGGAATGGGCAATTCTCTAATCAAACAATGGCTGCTAAGTTTGAAGTGCAAACAGCGCCACTGAGTGATGGAGTCCTCCCTGGGATTATACGCCAGATAGTGATAGAGTAAATATTCTTCGTCTACTCTGATGGATTCCACTTGCTTTGGCTTCATCATCTTGTACGGTTTTGGAGAGAGTGAAGCAAATTTCAGGATACTGATAAAAGTAGCTGGGAGGGACCTTATGCCTGCTTTGATATTACCTTCTTTCATCTCACAGTTTTGCATTCTGTACTCTCTGCATTAGGTTCAGTGGACATGCAGACCTAATAATTTCATCCTAAAGGGGTTGCGTAAGAGGGAGTGATTGATGCTGGAATCCTGACTGAGATATTATGAGCTAGAGATAATACCAAATGCTGATGCCTTGTAACAGAAGTTGTATTTCTTTGGACCAGGGTGTGCCATGATATTGGAATCCCAGTACGAGAGATGTCTCCATCGTGGTCCAATAATGAAATTTGGAAAGAAGCATTTGTTACAAGTAAGAATTTTCCCTCTCGGATAACACAACCTGCTGGTACATGATGACCTTATTTTGAGCATTGGCTGCTGCTAATCTGCTATTTGGTGTACCATATACATCATAACTGTAACAGGTAGTTTAAGGCTTATCCAGCATGTAGAGTCAGTTCAATTACCTTTATTTTGGGAGGACATACAATCTAAAACCTGGAGCGATGTACCTTGGGCGGTGAAGAAGTTTCAGGTATGCAATGCTTATAGCGTCTTTGCACATTTTTTTCTTCTTCTTTAGGTGATATTAAAGCCTGTTTGTAAACTTGTCAAAATTCAAAACTAGGGTGCTGGCTGCATTACCACACAGATTCAGGTTAGTTCTTCTTCACAAGATTTAGTAGATCTTCTTTTATTGAACACTTGTGATAGCTGACTCACCATGTAGAGGGAAATACTGAAGAGAGCAAGAAGAGAGGAGTACGGCATTAACAGTCTCCTTTGAGTTATGAGCATTGTCGTTGATTCATTTGAAGGGTGTGGGCTTTGCCGCTTTCCATAATGGTACTGTGGCAATATATAGGTAATTTTTTGAGACCTTGTAACACTGCATTTTTTGTGTGGAGAATTCAGACATTTTGGCTGCTCTGTGCTTTATTTGTTGTCTAACCAAAACAAGCCTCACATCTGGGAAGCAGAAGAGGGAAGGCAACTCAACTGGATAGCGTTGGAGTCCGGATGTGATGGGATATAACACCACCAGTCCACCTCTCATAGCAGGGTAGTAGGGATTTGAAAGCCAAAGGTCCTGGGATGGTTCCTTTGCAAAAAGGGTATATCAGAGCATTTCCAAGAGTTTGTCAAATTTTACTTGGCAAATCTTGTGATTTGCCAACTCCCAAAATTATATGCCAAGTAAAAAAAAACAATCCATCTCCAAGAGTTTGGCATTTTTGACTTGGTAAAATAAAAAAATCCGTTAACAAAACGAAGAGGCCCGCTAAGCGAACGAAGAGCCCCGCTAAGAAACGAAGAGCCCCGGATGCCAAGCCGTATACGCGCGCGTATATTTGCGCGCGCGGAGGGAAGATTTGCTAAGTTGTTATTGATGCCAAGTTGTTTTGTCAAACTGTTGGAGGCTATTTTTTCTTATTTTGCCAAAATTATATGGATGTCAAGTTAAGATAGTAAACTCTTGGAGATGCTCTCAGAAATTGTATATATACTGTAGTTGATATCCATCCCAGTATCTGATTTGAGGAATTAATTTTGTCTCGGATACATGAATATACAGTGATGGAATGGTCCCTGTGATGGAATGGTCCATGCATGGTGCAGTCAGATTTGCTGGTCACTAGAGTCCCTTTTTGATTTGTAGCTGCAACTAAGGGGCGTTTGTGACCTTGCTCGACGGAGGGCTGCGAAGGAGCTAGGGCCCATGCATGGTATTATCTCTCATGGATGGATCAGATTTGCTGTAGCTAACTATCGGAGTCCCTTTTTGATTTGTAGCTGCAACTAACTGATCTGATCTGTTTGCCGTGTATGTGTATGTTCTAAGGATGGCAGGGCCATCATGCATCCTGAGTATGAATGGATGAATGAATGAATTTGGGTGCCGCAAATGAAAAAACATGGAACCAAGGAAATGTGCATGTGTGTCATAACGTTAAGGAACGCCCAAGTACAAGATGGCCAAAGCCCAAAAGGCCACGCAGCGCGGACTCACATAGGCCGGCCCAGTCTGCCAAAAAAAAAACTAGACAGCAACCGCCGGCCCACAGCGACCACTCTCCTCGCAGCTGCATTCTCTTCTCTCGCCTCCCCCAAGCGACCGACTCCCGCCGCCGCCGCCGCCGCCGCCGTCGCCGTCGGCCTTCTCCAAGCAGCCATGGACGAGTGGATTCGCCAAGCCGAGGTGTGGGTGCGCCAAGCCGAGAGCTGGATCCGCCAGCAGCCCCCGGAGCAGATCTATATCGCGGCCGCGGTGGTTGCCCTCACAATCCTGCTGCTTATCGTAGGTACGTGCGCTGCCAAACCTAGACTTCTTCTCAAATTCCCTGCATTCTTGAGTATGGAGTATTGTGCTGCGAACGCCCACGGATTCTTATGTGGCCCAGTAGGCATGGAATAGGTGTGTTCAGTTTTGCAGCAGGGGACTGCTTGGGGTGGGATCCCTGGAGAAACATTCTTGCCCGCCTAAATAAAAGCGCCAGAGTTGTTACTGGTTAAGTTTTTTTTTTGTTTGTCCTCCATTTAATTCATTCACTGGAGAATATACTAGTTGTGGATCTGGAATTGCATATTTAGCTCTAGACTAGTGTGCTGTCTGCTTCATATATCTGGGTAAAATAAAATGTGGCCGACTTCATGCCCTGGATCATATGGGAGCTGATTTGGGCAGTGGAGGAAGAGGCTATAGTCTGATTAAATTAAGCAACTACAGGAGATCAAGCCACAGTTACCTAATTTATGAGGGAAGAAACAGTATCATTGTTAGCCGTATAAATTAGCAGATCTGTGGAGTTTGTGAACATTTATTAGTTTTGCAAATTATAGGTGTGCTTAGAAAGGAAGAACGTAGTGGAAATTTTGAGCCTTGGTTCATTCAGACTCTGAGGTGTCATTGTGCCACAAGTTAGAAGATTTCAACAGGGCAGTTATGATGGAGTGCTATCGATTAAATAATTGAAGATTAGGCCCATGTTTTTATTTTAACAATAGTTGGTGTGCATTGTCAATTGTTCCAGCTCTAAGATGATTTAGCATTTACAGTCCTTTAACATGAGGCATCTGATGATGGCATTTTTATGTTATGAGACGAAGAGGGGGTTTACTTTTTGTTCAGAGATACCTTATGATCTAATATACATGAGGTGTCATGTGTCATGCTCTCCATATTATCTGCTTCCACCATGTTGCTTGTCAAGATCTTTGCTTTATCATACCACATTTCATTACATTAGAGTCGTGAATGATAAGCAATTACTTTGTCTGCCTTTCTATTTCCGCAGCATCTTGTTTTAAATCCTCGAAGCCAAATACTATAGTGCTATCTGGGCTTAGTGGCAGTGGCAAAACTACTCTTTTCTACCAGGTAACTGCTGTTCTTTTTGTCTGTGGGGTGTAGGGTTTTACAAGTGAAGGACAAGGTTGTAGTATCTAGTTTGCAAAATAATCTTGTCTCAAGTCTGAACATCATTTCGCGCGTTAAATTCTAGCAGGATATCTCTTTCTTATTGGTTGGATTTTGTTTTTTCTATGTGGTATATAGTTGGTTTGGTTAGACTTGTCTATGCTCATATCTGGTTCTAGAAGTACTGCATTGCGATACCATTAATACCCAGGATTATATTTGTATCAATACTGTTGTAACAAGTAGGTGGGTTATACTATCTTTCATTTGTCTGCTAATTCTGTGTCTGCCTGTCAGCTTCGGGATGGATCATCACATCAAGGAACTGTGACTTCAATGGAAGAAAACGATGACACATTTGTGCTGCATTCGGAGCAAGAAAGGGTAAGATGCTTCTAGAGTTACTTCTTTTTCCAACATATTGAGATAAAAAATAAAATGGATAGCATAGTTTCTTATGAAGAAACATGCATTTCTTGACTGCAATATTTTTTGCTAAACCATCCTATATCCTTTTTCAGAAAGGCAAAGTAAAACCTGTGCATGTTGTTGATGTGCCTGGTCATGCAAGGCTCAAGCCCAAGCTTGATGAAGTCCTGCCTAAAGCAGCTGGGGTTGTTTTTGTTGTTGATGCTCAAGATTTCTTGTCTAGCATGCAAGCTGCTGCGGAGTAATTTTTGTGCCCTCTGTTTTAGTTTTTATGAAATGACTTTGGTGTCTATAACTCTATATCATCTACGTTTACTTGCTTTTGTGCTGGATTGAAATTAGAAGTGTGATTAGGAGCCTTCTTCATATCCCAAGATTGCAGAAATTATTGTGTTTTATTATTTCCTTATTGTAGTTAACATGGTGTGACTAGCAGCCTTCTACATATTTTAAAAATTGCAGAAAATTACTCTTTTTTGTCATTTGTTAATGTTGTTAAAACCGCAGAAAAGTTACTCTGTTTGATCATTTGTTAATGCTGTTAAAATTGCGTAACAATATTGCCATCCTTCTGGTAGGTATCTATATGACATTCTGACAAAGGCAACTGTAGTGAAGAAAAAGGTTCCCGTGCTTATATTCTGCAACAAGACAGATAAAGTTACGGCCCACTCAAAGGAGTTCATCAAGAAGCAGTTGGAGAAAGAAATGTAAGGACAGGACAGCTCTCTCGTCCCAACATTTATTGTACTTGCATAATTAGAATTTGAATGACTGAAACCCAGTAGTGCATAAATGCTGTGATTATGGAGCTTATTCCTAGATCTGATGTGCAGCACGAATGTACCCAATGACTTTTACATGATATTAAGCTGCAAATATAAATGGAATTTATTTGGGTTGTGGAGTAGTAGCAGCAGGTCTTGCATATCCCCTTTTCTGATCCCAAACAGATCTATGGTCCCGATATAACTCGTAGGCACCTTTAAGGGAGCATGCAAAAAACATGTGCACCAGTCTCCAACTGATGTGAAAGATTAGATTCACGAGGTTTGTAATGCTGGCCTTCTTTTCCATGTTGTAGAAACAAGCTTCGGGAATCAAGGAATGCCATATCATCAGCTGACATAACTGATGAAGTCCAGCTCGGGGTCCCTGGAGAGGCATTCAGCTTCAGCCAGTGCCAGAACAAGGTGGTTGTTGCTGAGGGTGCCGGTATGACCGGTAATGTTTCGGCTGTTGAGCAGTTCATCCGGGAACATGTGAAGGCGTAGATTGTTCTTATTGTTCTCATTGCTGCGAATGGTTCACCTCATGAGGCAAGACATCCATTGCAAATACCTTCATCGGGTCCTCTGATGATAGTTTGAGGCACAATCATATTCTGCACCGCTTCAGCTAACCCTTGTTAGAGGCATTAGATGTTGATTGTTAATTAATGCTTGTCAGTCATCGGGTATGAGTAGAGGCAGTTAAGAACTGTCTCTGGCCATGGTGGTTTCGCTAGATAAGGTTGATACTTCCCTGATTTTTACTACTCTCTGTTCTAAACTCCCTGGTTGTAGTTGCAAGCAAAAGTCTGGATCTGATCAGAAGCATCGGATATGAATAGAGCCTGTCAAGAACTGTCTGTGTTTTTCGGAAGCTACTGTTTTATATGGTGAAACACTGTAAGACAGGCCTCACCTTTCGGAAGCAGAACACGGAAGGCAATTGGATAGCTGTGGAGTATTGATATAGTCTCAGAAACATATGGTGTCTTTGTTGGGCGGCTTTGGGACAGAACGCCATTCCTTTTATATTTGAAAATGAGCTTTTGTTTGAAACCGAAAGCGCTTGTGGTAGTTTGCAAAAAGGAAATGGAGAAATTGTATAGTTCAAAACCCATGTGTTTGTGCATCAACATTCTTTTACAGTTTCATCTACAAAGAGTTCTGATATTCCATCCCAGGATCTATTTGATTTGTAGCTGGAGCTGCAACTATTCTCGCCGAGTATGTTTTGAGAATGGTCCATGGTAGGATCAGCAATCAATATGAATTTCGGTTCCTCAAACTGCACTCGGCTTGCGAGCGATGATGGACCAAAAAATAAATAAAGATTGTTGTTGTAGGAATCGGATCGGATGGGATGCATCAGGTCTATAACTATAATTCTGGTAACATAGACATCGTTGCTTTGCTTGCATCGGTCAAGAGTCAAGGCTGATCGAAGAGCAAGACCATGCATCAAGTTGCTTGGTGGTTACACTCACACTCAAGAAATCATATTCCTAAAAAATCACACATTCAACCAAAAAAAAAATTCTTCAAAACTTGAAAATGCCGTCTGATAACCTTAGAACAACTAGAAATCTAGCCTTTAGCTCTTGCATAACCATCATTTGTTGATGACCAAAATTTGAAGTCTTGAAAAGCTAGCTTAGCTGGTTCCCTAAGCCAGCTTAGCTAGATCATAGATTGGACATCACCATTGTGTAGCACTCATTGACCTGAGTAAATGTGTATATATAATCTTAGTTGAATTCGGGTGGAAGCAAAATGGCTATGAAAAGTCCATACTTGTGAAAACCAGCTAAACCTTTTTTAAAGTTGGCAAAGCTAGATTTTAGGAAAGTCTGAGTTAAAGTTGTAATTTAGCACGATTGTGTAAATTGTTATGACTTGTTCCTAGGTAGACCTCCCCACCCAATAAATATAAAGGGCCATCACTGCTTGATGGCCTCGAACTGCATCTATCAACATTTTTATATTTTAACACATTTTTGTATTTTATCCCATAAGCCTACCTTTTCAACCCCATCTGATGTTCTTATCTCATCTTCATGGCATAAGAAGGAATCCTAGTTGGCTTATTGAACCTAGGGAACATCAGAGCGCGCTTGCTCAAGTGGAACCCCTCTCAGGTGAGCGTTCGACGGGTCTACTGATGGATCTAGTTTTTCGAAACCCGCTAAGCTAGTTTCTAAATCTGGCAAGCCACAAAGGTGTGTATGTGAGAGATGCATGTTGTGTGTGCGTGTGATGGCGTGTTCTAGCATCGACCATCACCGATGAGACTGTCACCTCTGTTTGTTTTTTAGGCAGGAAAGGGGGAAACTACCGTGCAAGGATGAGAGGCTTGTAGTTCAAGATGAGTGCGAGCACTGCACCGTCGAGCTTGTCATGATTGTTAGGCTCTCTGCCGTTTCTGTTGTATGCGAACGGAAGAGAAGACCATCTCGGTGGGCTGCGGCTGCGCCATCCATAAGACCATGCATGGCTCTCATGTGTGCCATGCATATCATGCGTCATCAGCTAGCAGACGCGCCGCGCGGTTGCTTTCACGGAAATCCGCCGCCGTTTCCACTGGCATTGTCCGCTAGCTGGCTCTCCATCTGTCCAGCCCACTGTATGTGGCCCTCACACCATCCGTCCATGCATCCATCTCTCTCACTCCCTTTTTCCTCTCTATAAACAAAGGCATCTCTCACAGCATCATCTCTCTTTCTCTCCCTCCTCCCCAGTGACAAGAGGAAGGCCGCCGGCACAACATCCAGCCCGTCCCGTGTACTCTCTGATCCTTCTTGGTGTTTTGATACAGGTTTGGTTGACAGATGTGTTGATTTTTAAGAGACTTTGATGGGTCTCTTTGCTTTACTTGCTAGGATCGATCAATCCTTTATTTGGTGGGTGGGTGCATATATATATGTAAGTGCTTGTTCATGTATCTATGCTATATATTTGCTACAGATTAGCGGAAGGAAAGATCCATGGACATGAGCTCCAGAACCACCAGCAGCACTGCAGCAGCATCGGCTCCCCACAACCACCAGCAGGTAACTTGGTGATCGCCTCCTTGCTCTCGATCCTCCCTTTCATGTTGGCTACTTTCTTTCCATATATAGATCAATATGCAGGTGAGACACGAACATATTTGTTAACCCGTACACATATATTGGTATGTGTGCAAGTACTCGTTAGATAATGCATGAATATTCTCCATGAATCAATTGTTGGATAACCTTCCAAATTAACTCAAAGTTTCCTAAACTTATTTATTTATTTATTTATTTCACGCCCTCTTGATTTGTTAGTCTATAGCGTGCATCATTAACAAGTATCTGGAATTTAGTTAAACAAAGTTGTCACTGCATTTTTGGGGCGATAGGATCTTTACACTATGTATCTTCTTCTCTGGCTTTGGCGACACTAGAGATTAAGGTTTAGGGTTGGTGCTCACCATAGTCCTGTGAGCCTTGAGGGAAATCCTATGGTGGCAGAGTGGTGGTGGAGGATGCGATAGGACGAAGGCTAGAGGGTGACAAGGATGAGGGAGCGACGATAGGGAGCGCCGCCAGAAAAGCCAAGTTAAGATCGCAGTAGATGTAGCAATGATAGGGAGCGCCGCCGGAGATGAAGAAGGGCGATTATGTGCAAGGATGAGGGCATGGTGGAGAATGAAGGTGAATAAGGCACTGTTGGTGGGATGGAGGGGAATAAGTCTGCGAGGGTATGGTGGCTGATTGGCGTTGAATGTGATGCAGGCGACACACGAATATCGGCATCTCGAGCATGGGGGCTCAAGCATGCCAGGGTAACACCCATCATCCAACATTCCAACACAGGTGAGCGAGTAGTAGGGGGCACAAGAGTGTGTTGGGTACGGTACTGGTGGCGGCGTGGGTAACGAGTAGGGTCTAACTTAAGGAATTAGGCTTAAACGGGGTAGGAAATGAGGCATTGGATCACACTGATTGGCGACTAATATTCATGTGTTGGGCTTCCTAATGCCAAGTAGGTAATGGATATGTTCCCTATGAGGAAGGGGATTGGTCAAGACAAAGTAGGAAAATGGGCTATCGTACGTATCCCATGGATTGACCATCGTACAATTTAGTGGGGATAGAGAGGATGAGGCACGTGATTGACTGGTTTGTGTCCAAAGCGATGAAGGTGCGACACATACATTGGCATATTTAAGATGGGGGCTTAGGCGTGGTAGGGTGTCTCTCAGTATCCAACACTAGTGAGCAAGGAATTGGGACTAGTGTGGGGTTGGGTGAGGGCAGGAGTGTGTTATGGTAGTGAGGACGACACTGTAGGTGACTATTGGGAGGTGGAAAGGAGGTGAATCGAGGGGTGATTAGGGTTAAAAGGGGTTGCAAATGGACTATTAGATTAAATTGATTGGTGTCCAAAGATTTTGGTGCCACTTTTCATGAAATACACAAGTGGGCTGGGATATAGGATATATGGGATGATGAGATCAGGCAAGACAAAAGTGGAACCTATAAAATACATATTTAGTTTTAATGTGTCATACATGTGTACTAGAACACAATACAAATAAGTTACCCTAAAACGGTATGACTGGTTATCACACATTCTAGCCAGTATAGAAAATTGCCACTTTATTTCCATCTAAAAAGGTAGTAAACATTTCATTCTATGGTTTTGAGCAAGCTTGTGCTTCATGATTATTTAATTTGTTAAATCATGAAGTTGGGTGATAAGTGTAATACTATGTCATTATTTCTTTTTGCTTGCGGTGATAATATGGCGCTCACACATTTGTGCATCCACAATTTATTTGGTGCAGGAGGTGATGGTGTCATCCCCCATTATAAAGGAGGAAGCTAGGAGCCCAAAGCAGGCAGAGGCCACGCAACAGGCAAGTGCCAGTGGGGAGCGTAAGCCGCGGCCACAACCGCCTGAGGCTCTCAGGTGCCCACGCTGCAACTCCAACAACACCAAATTTTGCTACTACAACAACTACAACACAACACAACCGCGCTACTTCTGCAAGGCATGCCGCCGCTATTGGACACATGGCGGCTCCCTCCGCAATGTCCCCGTTGGTGGCGGGTGCCGCAAGAACAAGCGCACCTCCGGATCCGTAGGCTCTGGCACCTCATCATCCTCATCCGCTGCCTACGCACCAATATCCCCCCGCACTAACACCAGCTCCAGCGAGATGAACATCAACACACAACTAATGATGGTGCCTAACATGACCATGCCTGCCCCAACGACGATCGGCTTATTCCCCAATGTGCTCCCGACACTTATGTCAACTAGTGGAGGCGGCGGCTTTGACTTCATCATGGACAACCAACATGTCTCCCTGCCCTTCACGCCAATGTCTCTATCTAACCAGGCGTCAGTGCCGGTGCTGGCCGCGGGAGGGAGTGGGACAATGCCATCTTTCTTGGAGATGTTGAGAAGGGGGCTTCTTCCTAGTAACAGTAGCTACGACACATGCCTCGCGATGAGTGGCATCAACAACGAAATGGACATGCCATTTTCGCTACCATCATATGGTACAATGCATGGGAATGGGTTGAGTGGCTCAACCACTAATGATGCCAGACAACTGGTGGGGACTCAGCAGGGAGTGAACACCGACAATGGTTTTGTAGGATCACCTGGAGTGCAGGAGGAGGAGGAGGAGGAGGAGGAGGATAACAAGGCCATGGTGAAGAGTAGCAAGAGCAACAATTGTGGGTCATTTTTGGACCGCTACTGGACCAAGCCCAACAACAACAACAACAACAACAACATGGGGTAGCAGGGGTAGTGTGCTACGCTGCAGAGGTGCTGCTGCTGCTGCAAACAATGCAATTGGATAGTAGTACTAGTGAAATTAATAGAGTCTAGTAGCCTAGGACGCAAGCATTTTGATTTATTTAGTTTTGGTCATGATGGCAAGTCATCATGAATCACCCTTTTTATTCATTTGCATGCTTTGATGAGGGTTCATTTCTAGTAATCTATATATCATTGGACATTAATCATTTGTTTGGATCATTAGTTCTATTGGATATTTTCCTCGTTTCTCTTATTCTTTAATTTGTTAACTAGTCTATAGCTTTTTCAAGTTTAGTACTTAATTTGGATGGATGAAGCAGGTTGTTTAACATGCATTTGGTAGCTAGAACCCTATGGATATACGATTGGTAATAACAATTTGTTGCTGCATATGTCTATCTTTTGAATGCTTTATTCATTTTATTTCAGCTTTCAATGTGACAAATTAACGACCCTTGGTATATATGAGTATATGCATGGACCTCTTACTGTCTTAAGAGGTGCATGGTACATAACTACTGCTACTTGGCACTCGGTGGATGACAAGGCACCTTAAGAAGAACAATGTCAACTTGTGGAACATGCGTAAATTGCAAAAATGACACTCGAAAGAACAATGCCAACTTGTGAAACATGCATAAATTGCAAAAATAACACTCGAAAGATTGACTCCTTAATTATGATGACACTCGGTGAATGACAAGTGGGTCCATCTGTGTCTATGAATGTGTAGGTCCAGTGTCAAATCTGCAAACGACCAATGTTTCGAGTCCTATTTTTGCAAATCGTCCCACACCCAAGTTATGCATGTATATTTTTAGTATATGACGCACACAATTTATGCATGTTCCACGAGTTGGCATTGTTCTTCTTAAGGTGCCTTGACTGTAGATCTGATAGATCAATCAGGTATGTGTATATATATATATATATATATATATATATATATATATATATATATATATATATATATATATATATATATATATATATATATAGATATAGAGAGAGAGAGAGAGAGAAGATAGAGAGAGAGAGAGAGAGAGAGAGAGGATCCACATGTTATATGATTCATTCATCAATTTATGGTCGTTTCGTTTAAATTTTGTTCTACATTTTTCAGTCGAAAAAATCTATCCAATTTCCCTAGAAATCTGGTTATTGTGGTGAGGCGGTGACCGGGAAAGAAAACGTTCAGTCAGTCCCACTGAGAATTTCGCTGCAAAGGGAAGTTGGAGGGGAGTCCGAGAGAGAGAGGTTTTTAATTTGTTGGATCCCCCTGTGGTTCGTGCGATTCCGATGATGACCGGCGGCGACGACCTAGCCGCACTCCACGAGCAGGTCGCCCTCGCATCCTCCGCCGCCATCTCCGCCTCCGACCTCGATCTCGCCTTCCAGCTCCAGGTCGCCGAGGCCATCCAAGCCTCGCTCCGCTTGCCCAATGCCGCCGCCTCGTCATCGTCGTCGCAGGCCGTTCCCCGAGTCCTCCTCCGACGCCGCCTACGCCTTCGCGGTCCAGGCCGCCGACCTCGCGCGCGCCGAGCAGGACCGCCGCGACGCCGAGGCCTGCCGCGCCGCCCAGGCCCGGGCCGCCGCCTCCGCTCGCATCGCCGCGCACGACGCCCTCTTCGCTCGCGACCTCGCCGCCATCCCCGAGGAACAATGGGCCCACGACGGCGACTACTTCGAGCGCCCCGTCGACTCCTCGCCCCGCCCGCTGTTCCGCGTCTTCTCCAAGGGTATGCCGAGCAGGGACGTCGTGGGCCCGCGGGACCGGGACCCCAGCATCGCCGTGCTCGCGGTGGCTGTCTGCAGGACGCAGGGGGGAGTGGTGCTCAGGATACAGAAGCCGGTGGAGCGCTTTGTGGGCGGCCGCATGATTGTGGAGGTGATGGCGCTGATGGAGGGCCTCGACGCCGCCCTGGGGTTGGGCATCCGCAGTGTCACCGTCGTCACTGGTTACCGCCCGCTCTACAACCATGTATGCCATGACAACTCTTTACCTCTCCACCTTCACCTATTTTATGCTAGTTGATTGAGATGCCTAAGAGATATGGTCAGTCTAGTTGAATCGATAAAAAAACTACTTTTAGTAGATTTGGTGCTGCTGTTCCCATGTGCTTAGGATATTTCCCCTTTTCTAGTGCCTGTTCAGTTCTGAATCTGAGTGGAGAAGCTAGCAGAACTGTACTGTCTGCTGGATTGGATTTGGTTCTTTATTTTAGTGATGCTTGTACTATTTATCTAAACTTGCGCTGCAGGGGAAACAAAAGGATATAACCCATCAGATTTTTTCATTGACAGTCAGTTCTCAATAGTTTCTGTACTATTGATGCTTCCTTCTTTCAGTTACCTGTTCGAACTGAAAACATTGTACTGTTTTTGCTACCCTCCCATAACAAAGTCTCTCCTGCTCGGTTCCTCTAAAAAACAAAAACATAAGAAAGTGTTAGAATTTGATATGTCAAACTTCCTTAACCTTTTGTGGTTTGAGCGTATTTCTTTACTCATGTCTTGATCAATACATCATGTTTTCAGTCAATGGGCAGTCAATGAAGATGCCAGTCTAAAATTATTCAGTACTCACACACTTCCCTGTGTTTCCCTTTCCACTTCCCTGTGTTTCGGACTCAGGTTTTGGTCCCAGATGGTTTTCTTGGGGGATTTGTTACTGGATCCTTTGGGATTTGGGATCAACCTGTAATGTGTTTTTTTGAACTCTCTTTTCTTGGGGGATTTGGGATCAATTCCTGCCATTTTTGTTCAAGAAAAAGTACTCACAAACACTCCACTGTATGTAACACTAAAATGGAGTATTCGTTGTAACACAACTGCATGGTGTTAGATGAGCAAGATCTTGTAAACTTGAAGGGTGATATGCGTCTGGTTCGGTGCCAATCTTTGTGATGTATACATCTTCCATTCCATGTGCTTAGATCTTAGGCATAGGCCGCCAAGAGATATTGATACTAGTTGATTGAGTCGCCCAAGAGAAACTTAGTTTTAGTATATTTGGTGCTGCTGTTTCCATGTGCTTAGGGTATTTCAATGTCTGTTCAGTTCTAAATCTTACTGAATACTTGCGTGAGTGGAGAAGCTAGCAGCACTGCAGTGTCTACTGGACAGGATTTGGTTGGACATTAGGCCTTAACGTATTCTTGAAATGAGTATTTTGTGGCGTCATGATCCCAACTTGTCTGAACATGCATTGGTTGTCTTGCTTATTGCATTGCAGGGGGGAAATGATATATGAATATGATGGATCAGACTTTTTCCATTGATATCCAGTTCTCAAGAGTTTCTGTACTTGATAGTTCCTTCTTTCAGCTACCAGTTTGAACTGAAAAAATAGTATTGTTTTTTGCTACTTTCCCTATTCATAAGAAACATAAATAAGTGTTAGAATTTGAGATGCCAAACATCACTAACTTTGTGGTTTCACTCCAGTCAATGGGTAGTTTCACTAAGATGTCAGTCTACAATTATCCATTACTCACAAACACCTATTTGTAAACCCTAAACTGCAGCATCTGTTGTAATACAACTACATAATGTTTTGAGTCATTTGTTCAGCAAGAAGTGTAAATCTGGAGAATGATATGGATCTAGTTCAGTGCCAGTTTTGCTGTTGTGTGCATTGCTAAGTAGAAAACTTCTTAAGAATTTTCTTTTGTTCTGGTCTTATGATGATACCTGCCTACCCTGTATGTGCTTGACAAATCATAATAATTCACTCTTCTGACCATATTTTCCTAATATATACTCTCTGCATTTGCAGATGCTTGGCATTTGGCGCCCATCAGGGAAGAAGCTGGCAGATATGATGAATCAGGTTCTGTCAGTCCGAAGGAAGTTTGATCAATGTGAAGTCTCACTTGTTGAGCCAAACCAAGTCAGCTATGTCATAAAATTAGCCACAGATTCACTAACTGTTCAGATTGCCAAAGCTCTTGCTGCCAATGTTAGCAAGGAGAAAAGAGAGAGCTGCGCCATCTGATTGGAAGACACTGACATTACCAAAATCCATGTGGTTGAAGGTTGCACACATCGCTTCTGCTTCTCGTGCATGAAGGAGCATGTGAAAGTTAAGCTGCTCAATGGAACTCTCCCTGCTTGCCCACAAGAGGGATGCACCACAAAGCTAAGTGTGGAGGGCTCAAGGGTATTTCTTTCGCCGCGGCTGTTAGAGATCATGGTGCAACGCATGAGGGAAGGACAGATCCCTCCAAGCCAAAAGATTTACTGCCCGTATCCCAAGTGTTCAGCCTTGATGTCCTTGGGGGAAGTGATCCATCCGATGCAAGAGTCGTCCTCAAGGTACACAGCTGCTGATGCTGCCACATTGAGGAAGTGTGTGAAATGCAGAGGCTCCTTTTGCTTGAGCTGTAAAGTCCCATGGCATGATGGGATGAGCTGCTATGAGTACAAGATGAGGTACCCCCACGCTCGCCCAGAAGATGCAAAGTTACAGAACCTGGCAAGGCAGAGGCTGTGGCGGCAATGTGTGAAATGCAAGCACATGATCGAACTTGCGGAGGGCTGCTACCACATGATCTGCGTGTAAGGCCCCATTCTCTTTATTATTCCATAAATTGCACAATGCAAGCATCCTAAAAATCTGCACTTACTATGTTTGCCAGTGCTAAGAAAAGCTTCTGTTGTACGTGTGTTGCTGCTTCTTTCATTGCAGGTGCGGCTATGAGTTCTGCTACACGTGTGGGAAAGAGTGGAAGAATAAGAAAGCAAGCTGCTCCTGCCCGCTGTGGGATGAACGCAACATCATCAGAGAGGAAGACGATGATGACTACGAAGACGACGATGATGGTCTTTACTACTAGAAGGCTGTTACAATTCCTTTCCTTTATTTATGTTACTGCAGCTACATACTAGCCTGCCTTGGAAGAGTTTTAGTATCCCTATATATCCCTAGTATTAATGTTAGCAGCTTAAGTATATTGGAACCTACTAATTAAGATGCAATGGAGGGGGAAAAAAAAACAAGCAGAGTTTGTTTGTCGCATTTTGGACCGGCCGTGCCTTACCATCAGTGGGTCTCGCTCCACTGAATGTTCTGGGTGGTGGCATGCATAGGCATAAGAGTGGTTGTGTGTAGTAGTGGCATTGAAGTGGGCCAATATGCATGTGAACCTCTACCACTTTATATGTGTTCTTGTGTTGCGTAGATGTAAACATCCTATTGAAACTGTACTAGGCCCTGTTTGGGAGACATTCTCCGTGCTGCAGCCTCCAGCTAGCGCCTTCTGGCTTCAAAAGAGAGACCCTACCAGATAGATAGATAGAGAGAGAGAGAGAGAGAGAGAGAGAGAGAGTACTAGTAAAATTTATGTATGCAATACAAAACCGAAAAGGATTCAGCCAAACCCAGCGGAGCTTAGCTATACATACATGTACAACAAAATTGGGATCGAGTAGGAGACGAAGACGCGCCTGCAAACAGGCTGTGGTGATTTGAGCTGACCGGAACGGAGGCTGATGATCTACGCATCTCCAACAAGTCGTCGAGTCGCACAGGAATTTCGGCGGCAGCGTCGCAGTTTAGTTTCGGATTGGTCGGTCTTGCATGCATGCGCACACGTAGACGAACGATCGATCCACGATGGCTGAAGAAGAAGCGGGGGATCATCACCCTTCCAGATGTATGTCATGTGCAATTCAAATCACAAACACTTAATTCTTACCCCAATTTTTGTTTACATACAACTGTATTGATCGATCTTGCCTCTCGTCGTTCTTTCTTCATGCAGGATATCCTCTACCACATCGATGCGCTATGCTGCTCAGGCTGCCTGTGTCTCCCATGCCTTCCTCCGTTCCTGGCGATCCGATCCCAAGCTCATCTTGGACATCTACACGCTAGGATTATTGGAGGCAGACTACCTATCGTCGTTTGATCCTATCGACAAAGAACTACCGATCATAGAGGATCAAATCAACAAGGGCGTCATCGCAACCATGCATAGAAGAGTACTACCAAAGGAACGATCCCATGGTGAGAGAATTCGTCGCTAGAGTCGACCACATCATGCACAACCACACTGGAACCGGCATCGCAATCTTCTGGGTTCAGCCTCCCCCTGGCTTCTACATAGACTCTGACATTCTTGACCGCTGGTTCCAGGCTGTGATCCCACAGGGGATCATAGATTTTGGCGCGTTCCTAGACATGGACGACGACGGGCTAGGCTACACGTTCACATGCTCCTTGCTGTCCAGTGACAGCCATGGATGCTCGACGATCACATCCTTCACGATCACCGGTTGCCGTCTGGGTTACATAGACAGGGTCGGCTGCTTGGTAAGCCTGAGGAGGGTGCATCTCCACAAGATGCGTGTTACTGGAGATGAACTTAGCTGCTTCCTGTCGTCTTCGCCTGCTTTGGAGGAGCTGGAGCTCTCCTACTGCCATGACATTGTTTGCCTGAAGATACCTCATCTCCTGTCGCGGCTCAAATTCCTACATGTAGGAAACTGCAACAGCTTGCAAAAGATTCAATGTGATGCACCAGAGCTCGAGATCTTTTCATATGTTGGGTTGCCGACGACGCGCATCTGCCTTGGAGATTCATCATCCCTAGTGACAGAGATGAAAGTGTCTAGTCTCTAGTGTGGACGAGCATGGCATGCTCTCTTATGCCACCACCAAGCTCCCTTCTGTCGCACCAAATCTCAGCATCCTTTCTCTATCATCATGCTTCGAGGTCAGTGTTTCCTTCTGTTACAATTAGTGCTCATGCATTCTGATGACAGACATACATCTCTATCTGTATTTTTCTTACTATATATATATTTATTTACACCATCGATGTTTTCCCTGTAATGTACTTTAACAATATTATTATTATAGCTTCATTGCTCTTTACAAACATGTGGATTTTGTATTGTCTTTGTACCTAAACATATATATGCACTAACAGTTGGGGCCTCTGTTGTTTCTTTAGGTTGCAGCTGATACACAAATGAAGAAGCTTACCAAATTTCGCCACCTCAAGTACTTGAGGATACGGCTTCATACGCCAAGCCGCTGTCCGGACTATGATTTTTATTCCCTTGTTTCTTTTCTTAATGCCTGTCCTGCTCTGCATACTTTCATCTTGCAGGTAAGACCCCCCTCCTTTTCATCAGAATTCAGAAACCTTTATATATATACATGTATGACATTTCGTGCCTTTGCGCTTGAACTATCATCTGTGTGTCCGTACAATGTTTTTCCATTTATGTAGTCAATCAACATACGTTAATATAACCAATAACCAAAATTCCAAGAAAAAAAGACATTTGATGCTAAGACACCTTTGTATTTGTATATACATACATGCAGTTAGAGATGCATGCTGCTGCTGCTGATGCCATTCCGGGAGATTCTCATGGTGATTGTTCCCCACAAGAGAAAAGGCATGGAGGAACTGGACAACGCCGTCATCGCAAGTTGAAGAGAGTGCTGATAAGTGGGTTTCGCTCTGCAAAAGGTTTGGTTGAGCTAACAAATCACATCCTTGAGAATACAACGTCATTAAAACAACTGGTATTGGATACTGTGTATGGCCGCAATAAGGGGCGTTGCATCATGTGCACATCTCTAACATGGAACGCCCTCATGGAAGACCGGAAGGCTGTGGATGTCATCAAGAGATGCATCCAAGGTCAAGTCCCCTCAAGTGTTAAATTCAAGGTTATTGAGCCATGTATCAAGTGCCACATTGATGAGGCATGCAAGTCGAAGATAATAAACTAACTTTCTCTGAAGTTCATTCATTCATGCGTTGCTTCACTGTACCACACACACACACACACACACACACACACACATATATATATATATATATATATATATATATATATATAACTGCTACCCTGTAGCTGGCTACAAAATAACTTATTCTGTAGCCACTTTGAGTTACAATAATTACTATATTAATTTATAAGATTATAATAACTCCTTGCTAAGTAGTTTACTATAACGTTATGGTAAATATCCTTATGTGTTATAGTAACCCAACTATCGTAAATATGTATTGACATTATCGTAAATTAGTATATAAAATTATCGTAAATGGAGGTGACTATAAAATAACTTATTTTGTAGCTGACTACTGAATATACTATATATATATATATATATATATATATATATATATATATATATGCACGCGCGCGCTTGGTCCATTGAAAACTGTTGGAACTGTAATAATATCTCAAAAAGACATCCATATATTTTTTTGTATAATAACTACTTGCCACGTACCTATATGGATATACGTAGTCTCAACATAGGTGTGTAAGCACACTGGGCCAATTATAAAGAGACAAGCATGATTTATGTCAATTAAAAAAAATCTAAACAACTTTAAGTAAAAAAAGTAAAAACTAAAAAGTTGTACATCTCATCGAAGCGCTATAACTTTTGTATAAAAATATCTTTATCTGACACCACGTAAGATACATGATTTTTCGAAGACGACAAGCCTCGGTAGAGATTAATATGTTGCTGAAACTTTATATTATTTTTTGAGTTAAATTCACGGTAGGTCCATTAACTTTTGGTCGTGTGTCATTTGGGCCTATTAACTTTCAAACTGCATTTTTGGGTCTATTAATTTTTGGTGGTGTGTCATCCAGGTCCATCAACTTTTAAACTGTATTTTTGGGTCCATAAACTTTTGGTGGTGTGTCATCCAGGTCCATTAACTTTTAAATTGCATTTTAGGTCCCTAAGCTTTTTAACTGGTTCACCGTAGGTCCATACCACTTTGTTTAGCGAATAGATCTAACATGGCATGCCAAAAAGCAGCCACCGTGGAGTATATGCCGAGATCACCATCCGGAGATAATCTTCAATATGAAGAACCTGATGGGATCACCATCTAGGGTTTCTCGAGCGACGGCTCGACGAGGAATAAACTCCACAATAAAAAGGTGTAGTTGCTTGTTTGTATAATGAGAAGTCATATAGTTGGTTTTAGGTAATTGAGTGATCTAATTAATCTAATCTACGGTATAAGGTACACACACACAAGGCCATAGGCATTGGTATAAACACGTAGGCCACCTGACCCAAACAAAACTCGGACTCCATCAGCCCAATTAGGACCGATTGACCCTGAGTCCCTGATTCGGCTAACATGCACGACACGTCCAAACACAGCCACCAATTTGACTCACATAGGCACTAAAAGCTAGATGCTAGATAAAAGATTGTTTGTCACAACTGGATAGGAAACTAATGCATGGAAATAATAAAATACTATGGCAAGGATGCTAATCACGTTGGAAAAATTCCATTGATGATCTCCACCTCTTTAGAATTAGTACTGACGTATTTTGTTGGCTTCATTTTCTTCTCCTTTCCACATAATAATAAGGCACCTCTATAAAATATCTTTAATGATAGTCCAACAGTTGTAAATTTTTTCATATCCACAATATATTTATCCTTAAAAATAATAGTCCCAAATTTAAGACCAGAGGATATTAACGAATTACCAGCTGCTACATATGAATTATTGCTAGACAAGTCTCTATGAACATCTTGAGAAGCTATGGACTCATCACCTACTCGACGGTGGCTGCTTATTTGGCGTGCCATGTCCGATCTATTCGCTAAACAAAAGGGTATGGACCTACGGTGAACCAGTTAAAAAGTTTAGGAACCCAAAAATACAATTTGAAAGTTGATGAATCTGGATGACACACCACCAAAAGTTAATGGACCAAAAAATGCAGTTTAAAAGTTGATGGACCTGGATGACACACCACCAAAAGTTAATAGACCCAAAACTGTAGTTTAAAAGTTGATGAACCTAGATGACACATCACCAAA